AATGTACTGCCTGTCACCACCAAGGTATAAATGTTACCTATTTTGTATAATGACTATAGGAACTCGGATTAAATTATGCATAGATTTGCTTTAATATCTGTTTTAATCTTCCGAGTGTGGAGCCAAGGTTCTTTGACAAGCATGACGAAACTCTCGTGAAATGCACATAGCTCATTAAAATGAAATATACATAGGATTCATTAACATGTTAAATTATCTATGATTAATTGAAGGTTGTCAATTTCATCAGTATACATAAAAAATACAAATATAACCGTTTTTCTGATTCAAAGATATATCGTTTTCACTGAAAATTTTTCGTTAGACCTAGATTCAATATGCTTTATGCCTTAAGTAAGTTGTATTAACTAAATATTTTGTGGGGAAAAGTAAATTATTAGAATTTTTCAAGTTTTTTATAGACTTTTTTTCACCACTTCAGAAATTTGGACGTGAATTCAAGTTTGATTGTATTTTACATAACAAATAATACAAACTTATATTAAGCTTGGAAGCGTCTAAATGCCTCTCTTTTTCAATGAAAGAATCATCCCAGTTCTAAAGAAAATGGGACATATCTATAGATGAATATACCTTGCCTATCATTTTGTTTTATTAAGGATTTTTTTTTTGTAATGTTGAAAATTGTATATAAAAAGATCAAAACTATGCTGTCTATTTCTATACATGTACTTAAAACGACAAGGATTAGATATTTCAGCCCAACCTCAACTTCGCCTACTCATTGCGACAATCGATTCGAACAGTTGTATCAGAGTAATTTTGAAACACACTGTATGCATTCCAGATAAATCATTAAATAACCACCTGTGCTACTACAGGGCGGTATAAAAATCAATATACCCCACGTCGCTAATTCACTTCACGAATTATCACAAAAGATTTTTTATAACTCGTGTTTTCTCTAAACAATGTGCTTTTTAAAAAAAAATGCAGATATATAAATACTAAATATCAGTTGACGTTTAAAAATAAAGACCAACAATGATCATTCTTTTAAAATCTAAAATAAAATTAAATAGTCTTAAATCAATGAAAAGATGTGATGATGTTGTATTGATCTAGTCATCTATTTCTATAGATCCCTCTTTTTGTTTTTGTCTTTTAAGCGTTAAGAAGTTCTCGAGACAGCATCTCCTCAATGTTTCATCCCCTCAAAGCTGTCGCTTCAAATTGATCGCGTCCCTGGAAACCGATGCGGCAAAATTGTCTGTGTTTTCCAGCTGGTGACCTTATTCAGGTACATTCAATTTCCTTTTGTGACGGCCGGCTTGTCACCTTGGTAATTGATGACCGAGCCCCAGAGCCTAGCTTGATGCCAGAAGTGACATCTGGACAACGCATATCAAAGCATCTAAACGTCTCTTTCTCCCTTGTCTGTATTTTGTTATTATTAACAATATTTGACCTCAGGTGAAAAGTCCCATGTTTTTTTTTGCCTGTGTGATCCCTGTTTTTGCGATTTGCTGCCAATCATAATTGTCTTGTTTTTGAAACTAAGACACATATTAATATCTTATATAAAAGATGCAATTAAATTAATTGATTATTCAAGAAAGCTCTACGGACAAGTCTTGCAAATTATCACTGTGGTTGAAACATTTTGAAATTGTAAAGGATTTGTTTAATTTTCTCATTTTTATTGGTTTATTGACCTTCTAGTATCATAAATACTTTTGACTTTTAATTTTATTTATAAACAAGTGTAATCCACCTGTATTCACCTGTTATCAAACAAAATGTAGGTGCAAAAGTACTTTAACTTATTTGTCAGTCTGCATTGTTTTAAAATTCGCTTTATGTCCATGTGATTTTAAAAAAAAAAACTCAGATGCTAAAACGACTTCGAAATTATTTTCAAATGCATCTGTATTCTCTTTTTCTAATTAGCCAT